TATATATCCATTCCTTTTTCTATCTGAATGCGTGTCTACAAATCCTTTTCACAGACACAACCCGTAAACCACGTGAGGGTGAAGAGGATGGAGTACACTACCACTACACCTCAGTCGAGAGTATGAAGGCCGAGATTGCGAAAAACACCTTTGTTGAGCATGCTATCTTCTCTGGTAACCATTATGGCACCAGCTTCAACTCTGTGCGAAAGGTCATTGATAGCGGAAAGGTGCGTGCTTGGTTTGTATTCCAAACCAGAATATATATGTTTTTTCTTGGTGTACTATGCCAATGCTTTGGCCCTAAACATGAAAAATATATATATGTTTTTTTGTTATGATATCGTATTATAATGCAGCTTGAAGGTTCAGTATATGTAGCAGTGCTGTCCAACTAGCTCGTGTACTGTGATTTAAGATGTCTCAATCCTTAACCACTATGTGTATATCCAATTTTAATTATTCAATATATATATATTTAATTCTAATTATTCCGATTTCATTGTTTCTCTCCAATAATATGTACCTTTGAGGTTCTCCAAACACCTCTTTCGTTCCGACCCAAAGATAGCTATTAACCTCAACCCGTTCTGAATTCACCAGTCACATTGACTAACCCATTCTCAAACTCTCTATTGCACCAGATATGTGTGTTAGATATTGATGTCCAGGGAGTCCAGAATATCAAGAAGTCTGTGTATGACCAAGAAGCCCTATACATCTTTGTCAAGCCACCCAGCCTAGAAACCCTCGAGATGCGACTGAGAAGTGTATGTGTGAGTTTCTATCTGTTTTTGATGCGTGACAGGTTTACCATAGGAACGACATAGGAACTAATGGCTGGTGGTCTAAATGATAATTCTATGTCACGAGTTGTCTGGAATTGGTTAACCAACGGGATATTTATATATAGTAGTGTATGTGCACATTCCCATATATATATATATATATATTTATATATATGTATGTATATATATATATATATATATATATATGTATATATAGTATATAT